GGTGACCTCAGCAGATACCCAAGCACACGTGAGCTGCCTCCTTTACTCCTTTGTGGGGAGACGTCTTTCAGTTGCTGAAGAGCACTGGGGAGTGCTGGTGAGCTTCAGCCTTCACCTTTCTGGGTGATCTCAGACAAGTCTCCTGACCTCTCTGGGTCTCAGTTTCCTCATCTGTAAAATAGGTGCAGCCATACCCACCTATGGCAGCGAGTTACGGAGAGGATCCCATGAGACCTGCTCCCTAAATTAATATTTATTAGATCGACTCAAGTACCAGGTCCCGGGGAAACAAAAGCCGGACACTGCTTTTGTTCTCCAGGAGACCCGGTCTAGGGGGAGATCTAGAACAGCAACACCAAACAGCCCCAAATTAAGGCAAGAAGTGGTAAGCGCCACGAGAGTGAGAGTGGATGAAGTGCTTTATAAAACCAAATTATGTCCTGGGAATTCCCTGGTGGTCCAGTGGTTAGGACTCTGTGCTTTCACTGACGAGGGCGCGGGTTCAATCCCTGGTCGGGAACTAACGTGGCCAAAAATAAATAAATAATAAAATAAAATAAAACCAAATTATGTCCTTTTGGAGGAAGTTTAGGAAGGCTTCCCAGAGGAGGTGGCTTTGAAGCAGGGCTCTACAGGATGGGTGGAATTTGGATTTGGCTACGCAGAGAAGGGGGATGGGCATTGCAGATGGAGGGAACTATGTGAGCAAAGGCAGGGAGAGTGGGGAACACCTGCTCAGCATGTGTGTAGGGGGATACAGCTGGGTAAGTAGGTTGGGGAAGGACTTCTAAGGGTGTTGGGAACTCCCTGGCCTGACTGAGCTAGGCTAGAGGTTCCTAAAAGCCTCTGTCATGACTCCTCCTGAAAAATTTAAGAAGAAATATTTTTAATTATAGCAGCACCCTTTCTCCTGTCCCCCAGTTCAAAACCAACAAGGCCTATGGATCCACCTCGAATAAGAACAGCACTGCAGTAGATTCTCGGGATCCAGCCATGAACAAAATACATATTGTCCTGGTCCTCCTAGCACACTTGTGGAGGGTCCTTGGAGGCCACCTAGGCCAGACCCCCATTATATAGAGAAATTGAGGCTCAGAGAAGAGAAACAATCTTCCCAAGAGCATTGGTAGATAGGTTCCCAATCACCTGACTCCTAGTTTCCCATCACACTCTGCTGTCTCTGGGACCTCCGACTGGCTTAGGTTCCCCCACCCTGATACCACCTACCCAGCTTATGGGCTTCTGTTATTTTGTTCTCCAGCTGCTGTTGACACTTCTACTCCAGGGTTTCCCAAAGAGCCTTACTGGAAACAGCTGCATCTGTTTGGCTGTAGTGGGGAAGGTGGCCAAACTCTTGAGTACCAGAAGGGCATATGTGTGCATTGACACATTTGCCTGTTCCAGCCCGTCCACCCTGTCATTAAACATTTATTAGCCTGCACTGGGGAAACACCTTTGGTTTGAAAAGACTAGGGCACCTAGTCTCTGGGGGGATAGGCTTCTAAAGGGCTAATCACAAATGTGGACCAAACAGCAAGACCAAGTACACTGAGGCCCTGACTAAAGAAGTCTGGCTGCCTAAATGTGACTGAGGAGAATGGAGAAAACTAACAGGATGTGGGGTGAAGGTTCAGGAAGAGCCTGGGACGAGAAGTCCAGATGATGGGGCCAATCATATATTCATGTCTGTTCCTTCTCCCTCGTGAGGGTCTCCCCCGCCCCCACCCCTAACTCCATGCCGTGCTGATGCTGAGTTTGGTTGGTCTTTAGAGGATGATGCCGTTGGAGCAAAGAACTTGGATGTCCCTGCAGGATGCTTTGCAGGAGCTTTACAACTCAGCCAGGGAATCTCCTAGGGGAGATGGGCAGAGGCAGTCTCAGAGAGAGCGCCTCCTCCTTCGGGTCCGTCTCCAAGGACCATCTGACCTGGGAACTCTAGAAGTCCTGGAAACCTGACTGTTCAAAAATCTGAGATGCAGAGGACTCCTGAGAAAACTGCTCTCCGAGGGGTGTTTTACATTCCAGTAAGAGTTTGGGTTCTGGTCTGGAGAAGCTTAGCAAACACCAGGGAAGGTGCTAGGGGTGGCACTTGGCTCCTGAAACTTTCAGTACCCAGATCCATAAGGCAGTTCAATGCTCTGAACTTCAGACCTGTCTGTCCACCTGCCTGCTGGACATCATCTGGATGTTCTAGAGTCATCTCGGACCCAACGTGTTCCAAACTAAAATTCGTTATCTTCCCTCCTACCCCAACTCCCAGGTCTTCTGTGTCCTCATTTCAGCAAATGACAAAACTATCCATCCATTTACTCAAGCCAGAAACCAAGGAGTTACTCAGGACTCCCTCTTATCTCCCACACCCTATATCCAACTTCCATGTTGCCTAATCTAGCAAATTCTGTGCTCTCATTTTACCCAGCAGCTCAGCCGCATCAGATGTCCGCTCGTTCTGGAACACTTTCCTCCCTTAGGCTCCGAAATTTCACACTCCGTCAATTTTTCTCCTACCTCACCTTTCTCTTCTGCTCAACTGCCAAATGTTGGAGTAGCCCAAATCTTGGTCTCGTCTACCTAGATTCTGGTACTAGTTATTCTTCTCCAATTCCCTGACTTTAGGTACTGTTTAAATGACTAAGACTACCAAATCTGAATCTCTAGCCCTGATCTCTCCTCTAAAACTTAGGCTCATAAATCCACCTGCCAATTCGATACGCGTCTTCAACTTGCTTTGTCCTAAAACACGCTTCTGATGCCTCATGTGTTCAATCCTGAACCTCATCTTCCACATCCCAGTATGAGTCACCATCCATCCACCAAGTTGCTCAACACTCAAAACCTGTAGGCCATGCTTGATTCTACCCTTTCTCCCATCTCACTAGTTCAAAACCACCAAAGCCTATAGATCTGTCTCCAAAATATGCATCCACCTCTCTTCATCTTCACCCGCCATCAGCAGTCCAAGGCAGCAACATCTGTTGCTGGAAAACTGCAGTAACTCATCTCTCTGCTTCTACTCTTGCCCTCTTCAGTTCATTCGTTTTTTTTTTTTTTTTAAATATAAGGTCAAATTACATAGAATGCTACTCTTTTTTAAAAAATATTTATTTATTTGGCTGCACCAGGTCTTAGTTGTGGCAGGTGGGCTCCTTAGTTGCAGCACGTGGGATGGAACCCGGGCCCCCTGCATTGGGAGCGTGGAGTCTTATCCACTACGCCACCAGGGAAGTCCCCTCTTCAGTTCATTCTTAACACAGCAGTCAGAGGGCTCAGAAATACAACACATGATCATACTGCTCCCCTGCCTAAAATCCTCCAAAGGGTTCCCGTAATAGTTAAAATCCAAAATAAAATAAAATATGAAATAAAATCCATGGTTGATTGATCTGATCTAGCCTCTTTTTCCTTCTCCAACACCATATCCCACCATTCTCCCCCTTGCTCACTGCATTCCTGCCATCCTGGAATTCTTTTTGCCTTTAGAACATGCCAAGCCTTTCCTGCTTCAAGCACTCTTGTTCTCTCTACCTAGTACTCTTGATTTTTCCCCTTGACTTTTACTCAGCTTAAATATCACTTTCTCAAAGACGAGTAACAACAACAACAAAAACCCAAAACAAACAAACAAAAAACCCTAAAAGTGGCTTGACCAATAAAGCAATTTTTTAAAAAATATTTTATTTATTTATTTGGCTGTGCCAGGTCTTAGTTGTGGCATGCAGGATCTTCAGTTGCAGCATGTGGGATCTAGTTCCCTGACCAGGGATTGAAGCTGGGCCCCCTGCACTGGGAGCATGGAGTCTTAACCACTGGACCACCAGGGAAGTCCTTCGATAAAGGGATTTATTATATTATATAACCAGAGTCCTAAATCAGGGCATCTCTGTAACTTGTAAAAGTAAGTGGCTCAGCAATGTTATCAAGGATCCCGGTCCTTTCTGTCTTGTTACCTACCAGTCCCAGATTCTTTTTTCATCGTACTTATCACCATTTGAGACAATATGACATAGGGGTTAACAGACTCTGAAGCCAAACTGCCTGAATTTGAAACCTGGCTACCACTTTACTAGGTGTTGAGTTAAACTACTCAGTCTCTCATTTTCCGTATCTCTAAAATGTGGATGATTATTATAGTATTACCTACCTCAGAGGGCTGACTTGAGGATTGAATGAGTTGCTGTGAGGATTAAAAAAAAATATGTAAAATGCTTAAGCAACCTAAATGCCCATTGACAAGACAAATGGATAAGGAAGATGTGGTACATATACACAATGGAATATTACTCAGCCATAAAAAGGAAAGAAATTGGGTCATTTGTAGAGACCTGGATGGACCTAGAGACTGTCATACAGAGTGAAGTAAGTCAGAAAGAGAAAAACAAATATCGTATGTTAACGCATATATGTGGAATCTAGAAAAATGGTACAGACGAACTGGTTTGCAAGGCAGAAATAGAGACACAGATGTAGAGAACAAACGTATGGACACCAAGGGGGGAAAGCGGCACAGGGTGGGGGGTATGAATTGGGAGATTGGGATTGACACATATACACTAATATGTAAAAAATAGATAAGTAATAAGAACTTGCTGTATAAAAAATAAATAAATAAAAATAAAAAGAAACTATAGATTTAGCAGGGCCTCCAAAAAATAAATAAATATGTAAAATACTTGAAACAGCTACCTTACTTCTAGTTCACTCTCAGGCTCAGCTGTATCCTGGAGACATTCCTGTATCCTTTTGATAAATTCCCCTTTCTCGTTTAAACCTTTCATTGCTGGGGTTCTCCACGGGGCTTCCCGCCATCATTTTGCTTTGGCGCCATCTGGCGACCAAAAAGGAAGTGATGCGCCTGTGCTCTCTACTCTCTGCCTTTTGTCTCTTCCCTTGGTCGAATCTGGTACCTATACCTTTAAGATGCTTGGTCAAGACTGAAGAATTCGGGGGCCGGCGCCAAAGAACGCAAGTCCTCTTAGGTTGGTCCTGTCCGGGTAAGGGGCGGGCTGTAGCAAACTCCACGTAAGAAATTGGTCTTTCTTTTGGTTCCGCCCCCGTGAAGCAATCACGAACGCCTGTGATTGGTCAGGCGCTCTGGAGGCGGGGGCTCCGAGCTTGGCTCCAGGTTCTTCAGCAAGTCAGGGCTGCGGCGGGGTGGGCGGTATGTCCGCGGGTGGGGAGACGCGTGGGGATGCAGGAGGAGAGGGCACTGCTGCTGCCGCCCCCTTCAGCTTCAGCTCGGAACCAACGCTCGAGGACATGTAAGCCGTCCTTGCCCAGGCTGGGCTGGGGAGATCGCCCCCTTTCTCCCTCCGTTTGGGGAGGGCCCCTCCACGTGGTCGGGAAGAAGGCTAGCAGCTGTGCTCAGGTCCTAGCTCTGCTGGCTGACCCCCGCAGGCGAGCCTTCTAACCTCCTCCTCTGTAAAATGGGCTTAATGCACACCTGAGGCAGGGGATATACCGGAGTACGATGCTGCTTCTGCCCTGTCTCTGCCCTCCAGGAGCCGGAGGTAGGACGGTGGTAAATGTAGTGTTGAGAGGTGGGAGGCATTTCTTGCTGGAGGAAATCAAAGAGGGCTTCTTAGGGGAAGTGTCCTGGAGCTGTATTCTGTAAAATCAATAGGATTTAGATATACAGAGATAGGGATATTCCAGATGGAGGAAAACTGCAGAAGCAGCAGCAGGAGGTGGAAAAATGAAAAAGAAGGTATTATTAGATTTCGACAATTTAGGGTCTGTGTAAGGTCCCACCCATTTTATAGATGAGGAAACCAAGTTCCCTAAAGAGGAAACGACTTGCTTAGGCCACCCAAGGAATTGGTTGCAGAATCCCCCCGATACCCATGCCCCCATTACATATCACTGAGGTACCTGCCAGGGCCCTGTATCTCCTCCCCCATCCCCTAACCTTGGGACCTGGACTTCCACCCCTTTCTCCTATTCCAGCCGCCGCCTCCATGCCAAGTTTGCTGCTGAACGAGACTGGGACCAGTTCCACCAACCTCGGAACCTCCTCCTGGCCTTGGTAGGGGAAGTAGGGGAGCTGGCAGAGCTCTTGTGAGTAGATGACAGGCTTCCGGAAGAGTCTGTGTGTTGGGGAGGGGAGGGGAGGATTTATTTGACCATTAGATATCCCTGGATCCAATTTCCCCTCCTCACTACCAAGCTCTGTACATGGTTGCTGGGCATACAAAGATGACTTATGGGTCCCTGCCCTCTAGGGGTGCCCAGTCTCCTGGGAGAGAAAGGTGTGAAAACAGCAAGGCAGGTCCAGGTCTAAGAAGGGACAGTGGTAACTGTCCTTTACCTCTGCCTCTGGGGTGGAAAGGCAGGTATTCTATAGAAGACCTGCCTATGGCATTCCAGACAGGGGGAGTTTACATTTGCAAAGGTAGTGAGGTGGGAAAGGGCAAGTTAAATTCAGGGAGAATATAAGATTCCTTCAGTGTAAGCTTCTTGAGGAAGAGCAAGGATTTTGTCTGTTTTGGTCTCTGGTGTGTCCCAAGTGGCTGGGACACAATAGGCACTCAATATACTGTGGCTGTGGAGGACAGGGGTAGGATAGGAACACAGAATGATAGAATCAGGGCTGGGAAGTAATGGAGTTTGGACAGAACACCTGACCAGATTTGAATGGTAGAAAGGTCACTGTGTCTGCAGGGTGGATTGGATCCCCAAGAGAATTGGGTCAGGGGAGACCGGTGAGGAAGCTGGTGTAGATGAGGCAAAAGGTGGTGAGACCTAAGTCAGGGCAGTCACTGTGGGATGGACAAATGAGGGCACTGATGTGTGTGAGGGCAAGCCATTCGTTCATTACAGATTCATGACCACCATCTGTGTGCTATGTCCTCTAGAATCGAGATATGGCCTTGAACAAGATAGACACAGTTCCTACCATCACAGTGCAAGGAGACTGACAATAGATAAGTGAACTAATTTTAAAAGATGTGGAATTGTCACAAGTTCTATGAGGAAAGTAACACAAGGTGATGAGAAAGAAGGTAACAGAAGGGAAAAGGCTTTTCTGAGGAGGTGACATCTGAGCTGAGACCTGAGTAACAGCCAGCCATGGGAAGGATGGGGGGAAGAGCATTCAAGGCAGAGGGAGCAGTAAGTGCAAAGGCCCTGTGACAGTTTGGCCCATTTGCAAGGCAGAAAAGGCCAGAGTGGCTTTAGGTGGGGAGTGAGAGGGAGCATGGTGGATGATGACACTGGAAGAAGGAGTCAGTTCATGCAGGACCTGGAGGGCATGGCAGGAGTTTGGATGTTATTCCAAGCACACTTGGGGGAGTTTTAAGCAGGGGAGGGACAAAATGTAATTTGTGCTTTTAAAAGATGGTGCAGGGTAAGAAGATGAGTTAGAGGTTTCTGCTGTGGTCCAGGTCTAAGGTTTAGTCTGGGGTGGCAGTGGCTAAGGCCGGCAGGGGAGGAGTAGAATTGTGTCTTTTGGCTACTCCTTGGCTCAGGTAGGGACACAGAGGTCTGGGTGGATCATCTGATGGGGTCTCTTCCCCACCCAGATTCCAGGGCCTAGCTGGGTTGACTTGTCTTTGGAGGAACTTCCTAGGAGGTGGGAGTTCATTGCTGCAAGGCCTGGGGTGTGCCCCTGAGAGGTGGAACCCACTGGCCTAGCTAGCATCTATGTGTGTGTGCCTGTCTTTGTGTCCTGTCCCCAGTCAGTGGAAGCCGGATGAGGAGCCTGGGCCCCAAGCCTGGCCCCCCAGGGAACGAGCAGCCCTTCAAGAGGAGCTCAGTGACGTCCTCATCTACCTGGTAGCATTGGCAGCCCGCTGCCATGTAGATCTGCCCCGAGCAGTGCTCTCCAAGATGGACACCAACCGGCGACGCTACCCAGTGCATCTGTCCCGCGGCTCTGCCCGCAAGTACACAGACTTGCCCCATGGAGCCACCTCTGAAAACCAGGCTGTGGGGCCTGCAGACCTTGCCTGTGAGTCCACAGGTCAGGCCTCAACCTAGAAACATGGGCACAGAACCTGCAACTCAGCACGGCATCTGAGGAGCAGAGGGTGCTCCAGCCATGCTACCTCATTCTAGTCCTTTCCTAACAGATCATGGGCCTGGGCGCTACCCTTCTTGAGGTCTGAGGCCCAAGAACCTCCAGTAGGTAGCCTCCTGTTTTTTTCTCTCTCAATAAAAGTTTTGGTTAGCAACTTCTGGATTCTTCCTGGGGCAGCTGGGGAGGCTCTCTGTCTCAGCACATGCTGGAGAGGGGTACCAGGGATACCTGTGAGCCCAAAGCCCATGTTTCTCTAATTATACTTCCCACCTGCAGAGCAGAGAGATCTGATTTCTAGTAAGTTCTCTGTCTGACCTCATGCAAGTAAGTCCCTTCCCCTTCTCTAAACAAGACTGGAGGCTTTATGTAGTGTTGGATAAGAGCCCAGGTTCTGGAGCCAGGCTGTATGGGTTCAAATGCCATCTTTGATACTGGATGATGTTCTGGATTATATTGGCACCTTTCTGTGCCTCCATTTCCTCATCTAAAATGAAAATAAGGGACTTCCCTGATGGTCCAGTGGTTAAGACTCTGCGCTTCCTCCGCAGGGGGCGTGGGTTCCATCCCTGGTCGGGGAACTAAGACCCCACGTGCCGCGCAGCCAAAAATAAATAAATAAATACATTAAATGAAATGAAAATAATGTTATCTACCTAATAGGGTTGTAAGGTTTAAGTAAGTTATTCTAAGTAGAGTGCTTAGGACAGTGTAAGTTTGCAGTTGTCATTATCTGTTTGCCTTTTCAACTCAAAACTTTCAGGGGCACAGAGCAGGAAATTTCAACAGTTAAGGCAGGCGTGGGCCTTGTCCCTGAGAGAGCTCTCTGCCCCTCTCCCTTGGCCCCCAGCACAAATCAGGGTCAGGTCTGTCTGATATGAAGCAGAACAGGGCTTCCTCTCTTTTGGGGCTTGGACCCCCTAGCCCCCTCCTTCTCTCCCAAGGCCAATTTGCTTGTTCCACTTCTACACCTAAAGATAGTGTTGGGTATGTATGATTCACCCGTTGTGTGACCCCAGGCACATCACTTTCTTTTCAGAGCTACCCAGGGAACTAGCAGCCTGCCGCCTTCACAGGGTGAAACCTGATTCCACATCAGTAAAATAAAGCATTTCCCTTTACTGGCCTCACTCTTATTAATGACGTCACTTCCTCCTAACCAGTGACCTCTCTTACTTCCTAGGTAAAAGAGAATCCATCAGATTGGAACTGCTTTAGCTTTAACTTCCCAAACCCTCCTTTCCTCTGCCCACCAGTGATAGCAGGAGCCTTAGCTTATTGATCTCTTATTTCATCCTGTCTCCTTGATCAGTTATCTCCTCTCTCCTCCATATAATCAAAGTCTTTTCCTTTCCATTAGCCCATCCCATTAGCACATAAAGCATACTTGAGGGCTTCCCTGGTGGTGCAGTGGTTGAGGGTCCGCCTGCCGATGCAGGGGACACGGGTTCGTGCCCCGGTCCGGGAGGGTCCCACATGCCGCAGAGCGGCTGGGCCCGTGAGCCATGGCCGCTGAGCCTGCATGTCCGGAGCCTGTGCTCCGCAACAGGAGAGGCCACAACAGTGAGAGGCCCGCGTACCGCAAAAAAAAAAAAAAAAAAGCATACTTGAGTCTCTTTCGTATTGACAAGACAAAACCAACAAAACTCTAGCTACTTCCCTCATGCTTTTCACAGCCAAACCTCTTGAAATGGATCTACACCCATCCACTCTGCTTCTTCATTGTCTCATTTCTACCCTAACCCATTCAATGCTGGCTTTCAACCCCCTCCCCTCCACTGAAACCGTTCTCATCACTTTCCCCAAATTCACACACAGTGGACACCACAGCAGCATCTGACTGAGCTGTTTCCTCCATAAAACACTTTCCTCTAGATTTCCCAGACAAGACACTTCTGCTTTTCTACCTCTGGCTGTTCTGTCACAGACTCAAGTTCTCTACTACCCTCTTCTGGATGTGGTGCCATGCCCTCCAGACCTGATATCCCCAAGGTGTTACTTCCAATCGCCTCCCTGACCCGTCCACATTTACTTCACACTAAATGTGTCCAGGTTGGGGTGTAACGATTGCTGCCACTTCAACTCCTGCTCCTGCTCCTCATCCTGTGTCCCCATCTCAATGACACTGCCTGCGGTCACCCAAGCTAAGAAATGAAATCAGCCCCATCTCTCCTTTCCGCACGTCCACTTTAACTCCTATTAATTCTAGCTCAATAATATGCCATATGCCTCCCTCCCCTCTAATCCCTCAAGGCTTCTTTGTGGCCTTGGAACATTTAACCTGGCTTCCAGGGTCCTTAGTGGTCTGTCTCCTGCCAACGTCCTTGCTTGTTGTCCCTGCCTTCCACCCAGAGGACATCTGCAAGCTCTAACAAGTCTGGCATGCAGGTTCAGGGGTTCTCTCCATATGTCCCCAACCCCAACTCTCTTGACCTTAAGACCAGCTTAAATGTCACCTCTGAGAAGAGCCTCTCTAAACTCCAAGACTGCACTGAAGACCTCTCCTATCCAGCAACTCCCCCATCAGAGTTCCAATGACAAGGGACTGCACTTGCCTGTGTACTTGTCCTCACTGTGCCATTCACTGGCTGTCGGTACCTATTTACTCATCTGCAGAAATGGAGGTAAAAGAGTTACCTCACTTTGGGATGCTTTGAGGGTGAAAATGAGCTAATAATAATGTAGCACTGAAGTTCTTTAACCTCGTGCTAAAGTTTCCACTATTGCTTCTCTTTACTAGACCAAGTTCCATGAGGTTCATGCCGGCTCACTCAAAGCTCTGCAGAATGCAGTGCCTGTTGATCACAAATTCGCTAAATTTATGGACCCTTCTAGGTCTGAGGTCATGAAGACATAACCAAGGGCCAAGCGTGGAATGACTCCACACACACACACACAAAACCAGTTCCTGGAACACTTCTGGGCTTACAGCCCCACTTGACTCCATGACAATTCACCTAAATCACCTAAGCCTGGAGAGACCCCCAACTTTCCTCCTAATTCACACCCCACCCACCTCATTCACAGGCACGGGTGGGGTGAGGATATAATACTTTATTCACTCTAACACGGGCCGAGGGGATGTAATGAGGGGGAGGTGGGCGCGTTTCCAGGGACTCCCGGTAGGGGATCCTCCCTGTCTCCCAGTTCCAGGGCAGCCAGGCCCGCCGTCCCACCCCATCTGAGACGCAGGAGGCGGGGCGGGGAGTTGTCCAGGTTAACGCAGCCCCAGGTCGGGATACTACCGTGCCCCTCCCCAGCTCGCACCCCGCGGAGACAAGAATGGCGGTTCAACTGCCCTCACAATCTGGGCAGCGCTCAGTGGCAGTGGCTCCGGCGGGTAGCTTGAAGTCCCGGCCGCAGCCCGCGCAGATGTAGAGACGGCGCCGCATGTGCGCGCGACGGTGGCGGATGAAGTGTGAGCTGAGGCGGAAGCGCCGGCCGCACTCGGCACATGGGTAGGGCCGCTCGCCTGTGTGCGTGCGCGCATGCTCCGCCAGGTTGGAGCGGTGGCCGAAGCCGCGGCCGCACACGGCGCAGCGGTGCGGCTTCTCGCCCGTGTGCACGCGCCGGTGCTTGGCCAGCGCCGAGCTCTGAGCGAAGCGCGTGCCGCAGTCGGCGCATGCGTACGGCCGCTCGCCCGTGTGCGTGCGTCGGTGGCGCGCCAGACACGAACTGCCGCCGAAGGCGCGTCCGCAGTCCGGGCACGAGTACGGCTTCTCGCCCGTGTGCACGCGCAGGTGCTGTGCGTAGTTGGAGCTCTGCGCGAAGCGGCGGCCGCATTGTGCGCATGCGTACGGCTTCTCGCCCGTGTGGCGCCGCCGGTGCTGCCGCAGGTTCGAGGCGGCCGAGAAGCGCTTGTCGCATTCTGGGCATTCGTAAGGCCGCTCGCCCGTATGCGTGCGGCTGTGTTTGGTCAGCGCTGACTTCTGCGAGAAGCGCCGGCCGCACTCGGTGCACGCAAAGGGCCGCTCGCCCGTGTGTATGCGGACGTGCTTGGCCAATGTGGAGCGGCGCGCAAAGGCGCGGCCGCAGTCCCGGCACGCGTGTGGGCGCGCCGGGTCCGCCGACGGCGCTGGCGCCTCGCTCGGGACCTGCGGGGAGAGGGGACAGGGGACAGGTCAGCCCTGACCGAGAGGCTCGGGAGCCAGAGACCTGGGGCTCTGCCGGCTGCAGCCTCTCTGTCCCCCGTTTGTACAGTAGGAAAAGCCACGGGGTGCGCCTCTCAGGATGGTTGTGCGCTTTAAATGAGATTAACATAAACGCACATAGCACAATGCCTAGTGTAATTCTAGCTATTCTTTATTAATTCATACAGTATTTATTGAACGCGTACAATGTGCCAGACTCTGTTCTAGGAACTGGGGATTCAACATTAAATTTTTTTCTAAATTCCTAGTTTCAGGAAAAATGGATAAGGAGTGCTGGTATTGGAGGGGGTGCTGCAAATTTAAATAGGGTTGAGGAACCTCGCTGATGTCACATGAGCGAAGACCTAAGGAGGTGAGAGAGCAGGTTCCAGAGGGAAAAGCAAGGCCCTGAGACAGCAGTTTTCCTGTTCTAGGAATGGCCAGAAACAGTGCTTAGGGCGGACGGCAGGAGGGGAAGAGTAATCCATGGAGTGGTCCTGAAGGGGATATCTTAGCATAGGGCCTTGCATGTGAATGAGGTGAGGACTCAATAGAGATGTTAGACGGTTTTGAGCAAGGAGGGGAACAGATTAGACTCATATTTTAAAAGGTTTCAGGGGCTTCCCTGGTGGTGCAGTGGTTAAGAATCCGCCTGCCAATGCAGGGGACAAGGGTTCAAGCCCTGGTCCGTGAAGATCCCACATGCTGCAGAGCAATTAAGCCTGTGAGCCACAGCTACTGAGCCCACACGCCTGGAGCCTGTGCTCCACAACAAGAGAAGCCCCCGCTCACCGCAACTAGAGAAAGTCCATGCGCAGCAACAAAGAACCAACGCAGCCAAAAAAAAAAAATTAATTAAAAAAAAAAAAGAATAAAGGAGGGGAGGGGGCAGGAACCCAGTGAGGAGGCTACTGTACTGCAAGCCAGAAAAGACAGTGGCTTGGACCCAGTGACAAAGTTGGGAAGTGAAGGTGGTGAGAAGTGGTCTGCTTCTGGACATATTCTGCAGTTTGAGACAGCAAATTTG